CAGTGGTTGTTGCCACCATTATTGATCGGGCTAGTCAGAATTGGGACCCGCAGGCTGAGGTGGTCTATCATCTTGCAACTCAATATAAAGGATCAATGTGTTGAGTGACAGATGCACGTCTTAAACGGCCGTATTTGGGTTAGAGCATGTGTCTTGCTACAAATTCTGGTCAACAATGGATATAACTGTGATGTCTCCATTGATCAGGCCATTCCATTCGACCTTCGTATGCCATATTTATAAACACTTTTAACTGTGTGCACTTTCAGAACCCATACGGGGATCTTGGTCAATAATTCTAGTGGCAGTGATTCTTTCATGGTTGCTTTCGCTGTCTCCTACGTTAAAAAGCCATTTTAAAGAATTGATTTTTTCAGTGACTTGTCTCTACATGAGCACTTTAACATCACTTTTTCCACCGCTTAACCTACCCTCTTACCTTAAAACAGAAGTCGATTCTAGGCAAACATGCTTGCGTTTTTTGCAGGCAATATTCTTCCAGTGACTCTTAAGCCTGTTTGCATAGGCAGACTTTAGTTAAATAAACAGACCGAACTTTACCGGAAGATGTGAGCAATCTCAATGTCGCATATACTTGGAATTTACTTATTCCTTCTTTTCGGGTTCTCCAACTCTGAACAACAATTCGCAACTCGTGCATATGTTTTCATTTGCCCGTCATCTGTGCTTTTTTAGCGTCGCTCTTCTTTTTGGAGTTTGCACCTGTTTTGCTGGCCTTCTGGGAGTGGTTTTGGGCTCCTTTCTTGGACGAAAGTTGCGGGTCTTTACGCCGGTCGCTGAGCCTTACGTCTGTGGTGGCGGTCTTTTGCTGAGCGCACCCTTCATCTACGCTAGTTTATTGTCTCCGAACTTCAACTTCTATCTTTGCATGGTACGCTTCTATGGACATATGTTTTGTCTAAAATACTTTTTTCCAAGAATATCGTCTCATTATCACCATGTTCATCATGGCGCATCTCAAGAGAAGCAAAAAAGAGGTCTAACTTATGAGTCTCAAATGGGCTGCTTTTTCTGGAATGACGTCTATATCCCCCGTACTTGCCGAATTCTGTTGCCAATGGACTTGTAGAATAAGATATATCAGTGAGCGAAATCTTCGGAATTCAGTTGCATCGGGTTCACCCTTTCCGGGCTCACATTAGACAGCTTTTCGCAATCGAAAACTAGAAATTAGGATGTTTGGATCCACAACTAGCAAAGGCAGGAGGACTATAGTGGCTATTTTCGGTCTGTCTCGTCGCGTATCTGAGATTTTAGCCGGAGTTCGTCATCAAACCAACAAAATTGTCAAACGGACATGATGAAGGCGTACTGGTAAGGGCGTTGTTTGCTGATCCGTTCACCCATATCAAAACCTTGGGTGCGACGGTGTCCTGGATTGGAGTCGTTATGGGACCGTCTGTACGTGCTTTAGATCCTCAGTTCCACGGTTCCTTCCGTCGCTCAAGTAGCATAGATCTGTTAAGGCGACTTCAATGTGAGGTTCAAATCCTTCCTTGACGAAAACCAGAAGCCGACCAGTCTGTTTTTTTTTTAATTTCCACCCTCATACTACTGCCGTTATTCCTTACAAAATA